TTTTTTCAGACCTAAACATTTATATCTGAGCAGGGAAACTTGTGGTTCAGTGTACTATCTTTCATTTGTGGAAGCAGAGAAATAATGTCTTGCACAACAACGTCTCAATCACAGCAAATACAATCTACAAAGACATCGAACGTGAGGTTGAGAAATTCAATCTTGGCTAGAAAACACAAGAAAAAGTTCTCAAATCTTATGTCCTTATGGCTTAGATAGTCATCATGGTTTCCCCAAACCATAACTCATTATTCTACCTTGTTTTTTACCTTTTTTGGCAAGACGATCTAGATTATATATTTCACTTCTTTGTAACATCTATCTTTTATTTATAATGATATTTACCTTTTAGCAAACAAAACATTTATATCTATGGGTCTAGATGAAGACCGGCCTTGTGCACCAACGATTGCCAAAAACAAAACAAAATTAACCTCCATTGCAAATTTTTATATTGATAATGATATATGATATCAATAAATAATTTTGTTAAAGTCATATGCAATCGTAAGCAAATTGAAGAGACAACTAATGTGCGCTATGGCCACTCTAAATTCGACCGTCCAGGAGATCGTTTAGTTTATTATTCACTAAACGGTCAATCAAATATCCCTTTTATGAATACCATTCAGTGTGTAGATAATGACACATTGACAATAATAACACTCCAAAATTAATAAGGAAAATTATAGGCTAGTAATTGTATAATATCGTCTTTACGTGGAGTAGATGACAAATTGACAACTAGTGATATATTACTATAAATAAAAATCATTCGAGTTGATCCGGTTCAGCCATGTAGGGACGCGTTGGACCAGTTAGAGTCGGGTCCAACTGGACCATATATAACAAATCCAACTACGGCGGAGCCGGATAAAATCTGGAGAACCCAGCAATATCATTGTTGTTTTGTATTATTGATGGTTGATCTTAGCAAGGATCAAACTTAAAATTTTCCTTATGTTTAGTTATTAATACTTTTAAGTTTGATCCTTGCTACGTGGAACTTATTAATATTTCTTTAAAAAAAAAAGATCAAACTTAAAATAAACTATAGCCTATATAGAACCAGGCCCTTATTAGGTTTAGTTCCACGTAGTTTGATTGATAAAAGTTTATATTAATCTTCGGTATATTAATTGAGAAAATACTAAGTAAAAAATCTTATATGTCATTCAATGAAGAATTTAAGGTACACATCAATTAAATAACCAATCAAAACATTTCAATTAATTTTATATGTCATGTAGGAAATCTCTACATATTTACATTAATTTTTTAACATGAACTCACAAATACATATGTTATTGATTTAAATCCAACTAACTTTATATGCTATATTGGAAATTTCTGCATATTTACATTAATTTTTTAACATAAACTCACAAATACATATGTTATTTATTTAAATCTAACTAAAATATAACGTTATATAATATAATGTTTTAACGACGAAACATTTACCTATGTCAATTACTTTATAAAAATTGTATTTATGTTCATTTGGATACCATATGTGATTGATCAAGCAATTTTTTTAATATCGCTTATTTATAACCAATCTAATTAAAGTTGCGCTGTTGTTATAAACGTACAACTTTACAAATCGGACATTAATG